TTATTAATTTAAAATAAATTTATATAAACTTTTTATTGTTTTGCATAAAAATTTTGAGTTTAATATTGGGTAAAAAATTGTTCAGAAACTTTTGGTGGGAGTCTGTATATCAATTTGAATATATGATCAAAAAATATAAAATGAGACCTAAAAATAGTGATTTATTAGAGATAATAGCATTGATTAATATGATAAATGATGAAAAAATAATTCTTTTTAAGAAGTTTGTAAAGCATAAGTTACTATAATTATAGATAAATCAAATAAGTAACTAATCAATATAATTTAAATAAGTATTATTGTTAAGTTGATTAAAATCTCTTAAGTAAATTATAAATATGTGTTTATTCTATTAAATAATATTAGATAATAGTATTAGATTATTCAGATAAAACTAAATATATAAAATCTTTAAATGTAATATTATAATGGAAATAAGTACCTGAGATATAAATATGAAGATATCAAACATTCATAATTTCTAAGATTAGGAAGAGTTACAAAATTAATTTAAGCTTAAATTATTTTCTTTTACAGATATTAAAAGATATTACTTTGGCATTTTTTAAATCATTTAATATATAAAAGAAGAATTGCTAATCAATATAATGATTAAGATAAGAAGTAAAATATGAAAGAGTCAGAAGGGCTTCAGCTTAAGAGCTTGTTATTTATATTTAATAAATAAACGAAGAGGAGAGATAATAGGTGTTAACTTATAAGAATATATTTAAATCTGAAATAATCTGAATTGATACTGAGAGAAGTATTAGTAAAATTATTTATTAAGAGATCTACTTTATTGTTATATTGATTATCATTATAAGCTTAAACTTTAGAAAATATTAAGATAAGGTTGTTGGTAGTAATAAGGTTTAATATTTTTATCTAAATATGAAAATAAGGAATTTTGAAAACAGAATTCAGAAATAGTGATTCTGCATATAATTTAGTGACTTTATATATAAGAAGATTATAATCAATTTTAAATCAATATACTCCTGATCGAATTTAAAACATTGACGAAATGGTAAATCTTTTCCAGTTTTTGTTATAACTGTTGTTTTCAGAATTGTAAAATTTGCACTTTTTAGAAGTTTTAAGGACTAATGTAAAATAGTATAATTTGATTAAATACGTGTATAATTAGGAATGTATAGCATTATAGCATAAAATGTAATATAATTTGTGTAATTAGCTAATATTCTTTATTTTTTAAATATAGGGTCTTTTTTATCAAATGCCTCTAAGCAGTGTTATTCATTTTTCATATCTCAAGCATTTTAAAACTATCTCATACTATGTCTCAAGCTATTACACATTATGTCCCAATTGTCTCAAGTACATCTGAACCATGTTCTAACATAACACTGCCTTTAAGTCAAACACTTTTGACAAAATCAATTTCTGACTGAAAGAAAGATAAAACATGAATCACAGTTCTTTTTAGCATAAATACAATAAAAACTGACAAGTTAAAACTATAGGTAATCGGTAATTTGAAGCACCTGAGATTTCTTTCAAAGGTTAATTTAAAGTGTCTTTCTATTTATTATTGAGGTAATCCTAAAGCTTGGATGAACTCATTAGTATTTGAAGAGGTTCTTCATGAAATGGATAGCTATTTTAAAGCACAAGATAAAAAATCTTGCTTCTGGTTGATAATGCTCTATTGCATTTCAATCCACATTATTTACTAGTCGTAGAAATTGATCAAGATGAAGATAATAAAGATAAATCATCTACATCTGGTAAGATTAGGTTTTTTTTGTTTTATTTTATTTTTTTTTTATATGCTAATTATGTAATATAATTTAATGATAATAGAAAGTTAAGCTTTAAGAGGTCTTGGTAGTTATGATAGTGAATCAAAAGGTCATAGTAGTCATAGTGATAGATTAGGAGGTTATAGTAATCATGGTAATAATAGACCAAGAGGTCATGGCAGTCATGGTGGTAGTAGACCAAGAGGTTGTGGCAGTCATGGTAGATCAAAAGGTTGTAATAATTATGATAGATCAGAAGGACATCAATCTAACACTCTCTGGCTTCAACTAACTCATATCAAAGTGGCTTTTTTACCTTATAATATTACAAGTCATCTTTAACCACTTAATGCTGGAATCATTGTAAGCTTCAAAAATCACTTCAAGAGAAAGTACTGTCATTATATGCTGGATCTATTCAAAGATGAAAAAGATATAAACAGTAAAAGAATTAATATAAAAGAAGCAATAAATTATGTTACAGAAGCATGAGATTGCGTGATTGAAGAAATAGTATGGAACTGTTAGAAGAAAACTGGAAATTTGCCTTCTTTATCTGATGAAGATAGAGATGATATATTATAAATTTAACAAAAAGCAATAGATAATAAAACAGCTAATATTAATCAAATAATCAAAGAGCTTGATATGGATAACCCTTCTGCTTTTTCATTGACAAATACATTAACTAATTTTTTCCAAGACTTAAAAGAAATTCTAACTGAAAATATTTTAGACAAAAATGATATTATAAGGTTGATTTAAGAGGAAATATTTGATGAAAATAGTAATTCCAAAGATGAAAAAATCCTAATACCTCTCAGTGATGTTCTCAAATCTTTAAAAATCTGGATTTCATTTTTTGAACAGCAGAATATTAATGAATTTTATGTAGAAAATTTAAAAAGTACTTTAAGATCATTAAGCAGCTTGAATAACAATCCTGAAAGTAAGTATCAATTATGGATTATTTTAGTTTTTATATAATGTTTTGATTATATTAATAAATAATAAATATATATAATTTAATAAAGTATTTATAAATGATAAACTTGTTAACAATTGATATATACAGTTATGTAAAATTTATAATAAAACCTTTATATAGTTACTGCACATGATTTTTAATATAATGGTAATTATATGGAAGTTAACTTTTTTACAGTCACATCTCTATAAAATCACCAATTTTAGCGGAACTGATTAGGTGATTATATGAAAGTTTGACTGTATTTTATTTTACTTTTCATATTACATAATTTTTAAAATGGCAAAAAAAAATTAATTTTAATTTACCTAAAATTTCTAAAAAATATAAATTTCTTACTATAGCATAAAAAAAAAAGTTTGTTTAAAAAATTATTTTTACTTTTTTTAAAAAAAAAGATATAGTTAGTGAGTTTAATGTTAGTGAAGAAATAATTTGTAATATTTTAAAGTAAAAATCGTTGGCTTATTATAGATTTTAATTCATATTAAGTTAGTTTAAATATAAAAAAAACTATTTTTTTCTAATATTAAAAAAATATTAACCATTTGATAGAAAATACCATTCAAGTTGACCTTATTATAACTAATAATATTCTTTTAACTAAAACTTTAGAGTATATCTAAAATCTGTATCAAGTTGACAATGTATGTATTATATTACAGTTATGATTACATAATACATCTAATCAGAAAATTCATGATCATCATATTGCACTAATAAACTTTTTCCTATATCATGCTAGTTTTCTTTACTTTTTTCTCTCATACTTTCTTTCAAAAAAAATAAAGAATAAAGTTTTTTTTTACTTTAGAAGTGTAACAAAATTGTTTTCCAAAACTTTATTTAAAGTATTTTTTATTTTGGTATTGTCAAATTTATTACAAAGAAGTTAAGTTATATAATTCAAGTTATGATTCATTAAATCATATAACAGTATAGCAGTATAGATATCGAATTACAAAATAGTTCACAAGTAAATTAATTTTACATACTTTCTTTCATATTATCAAAGCTTTTTTTTTGTTTTAAGAGTACCTTCTATATAACATACACATGAAATATAAGTTTAAAATAAGAAAAAAAATGAGTTTTTGGGTAAAATGGGTATAATGTTTCATTTTTTAATTATATTAAAGTTTATTTAACTTTATTTATAAAAATAATATATTGTGTTTAATTTTTATTTAATTTCATTAATTATAATTATAATTTGTTATATATAATAGCATTTATTAGTTTATTATTTGATTTATTTGTATAATATTATTTATTATTAATTTATCATATAATATTGTCTAATTGATTATTTATAAATTAATTTTTTTAGTATTGTTTTATTAAATAGCATTGTATTTATCGTTATTGTTTGTCAATTATTTAAGCCTTATAATTAATTAAAAACTTAATTTTAATGTTTTTATTTTAGTTTTTTTCATAGGATTCTCTTCTTGAATTATTAAAATCAATCCTCCCTTTGTATTATTTATTAATAAAAAATTTTAATGTTTTATTACCACATCAAATTGTTGAGCATTCGTAGATATTAATGATAAAAAAAAGGTATGAGAATGATTTTTGCTATTTAAATCTAAATCAAAAATGATAATGCCAGAATCTAAGTATTACAAAATCAAAGAAAAAAAGTTCTTTTTCGCAAAAAAAGACACTGTATTTACAGTAATATAATAAGAGAAAAATAAGAAAATCATAAATTAAAATTCTTACAATCATCTTGATTATATAATACATCTTGCACTACTACTATTCACCTTTTGTTAATATATTGTAACATTGAATTAAATTATCTTTTGGAAGTTAACTTATAAGCCACTCATAATCATATTATCAATTTTGCAGAATCATTAAGCTTTCATCATGTTAATAAAGAGGTTCATGAAAAAATTTTAGAACTTTTCAAAGATGGTCACTCTTCTATATCAGTAATGTATACTTACAAAGATACACTTTATCTTAACGTAATATATAAGCAAGAATTTTTATTATTACTTACAAACTGGATAATTAATTCTGATTATAACTATATCGCTAAACTCTTTCAAAATTATCATGAAATGGCACTTAGTGATCATAATAGTATTTCAATATTTAAACATCTAGTAAAAATGTAAATAATTATAATAACTTGAGTTATATAAAGGCGTTACTACAAAAATATGATTTACACACAAAAAAAGTATTTGTTCTGTATATCATAACTAATTTAATGAGCTGAATATACTAGAAGATTTTACAGTCTGGTAAATTATATTATATGAATGCTTCAGCGTCATTTAAATTTTTAAATACATTTATTATTCTTTTTATATAAGCTGCATGATTAGAACTTTTCTGCTTGACTTATTTATTATCTCAGATAAATCTGAAGTTATACTAAAAAAGCATTAAACTTACTTAAAATAATTCTTCTACAATATGCCTTTTTAGATATGATCCGCAAGTCAGTTTAAAGATCTTTATTACTGATAATTCAAATGCTAAACGTAATACTCTTGAATTATATTAATCAGAGGATAAGGGTTTTATTTCAAATTTAATTTCTTATTAAATTTGAGAATTTTATTGATTTTACTAAATTATGCAACTGAAAATACAAGGGATTCATCTCCTATACATTTTTTATGTTCTTTAAGCATTTTGAAGATAGCTCTATAATTTAAAGTATCATATTAATAAAGTAGATCAGAAATCTATTATGAAAAAGATGAAAAAAATTCTTTATACAATTTTAAATATATAGATTATAGAATTTTTTTATTTTAAATAAACACATTTTTATAATAATAACTAAAATTATTTAACTTATATTCAGCAAAATATTGGTATTCAAAAGAAAGTATAAGAGAAAAAGCAAAAAAAACTAATGCAATATAGGAAAAATTTTATCAGTATTATACAATAATTGTAAATTTTCTGATTGGATATATCATATGATTATGACTGTAATACAACGCATATATCTTCAATCTGACACAAATTTTAAATGTGTTGACAATTTGTCATGTAAAATATATACAAGAAAAATCAGCTAATCAGAAATGAGAAATACTGTTAATCAATCAGAAAGATGGTGGTAAATTAGAAAATCCTTTGTTATTATATGTATTTATATATAATTATACAAATACATTTATTTTGCGATATTTATTTACTACCCTTTTTTAATATGTAAAGAATTTTGATTGTAAATTTATCTTTGCTATTTAATTCTAAAATTCATGAAAGTGATTAAACCTGATCTTAATGGTTGATTTCATAATATACATTTATGTTTTTATATATGGGTAGGATATATTAGATCATAAAGATTTTTTTTGACATTTTCTAGGATATAAATATCTTAAAAATTTTTTGAACTGATTATTATGTATTAGCTAAAGCACTTTTTCCTTGCATCTTTACCTTGCCTCTGTCTTCTTCTGATAGTTCAATAGTATATTAAACCTTAGCTAAATTATAAGAGAATTACTCTTAAGCTTATCTATATCAAATATAATAAATTCACCTTTACAGAGGTAATTGTTAATAACCATTAATTAGAGATACTCTCACAGAATAATAATGGTATTTTTACATGATTATTTGTTAGGATTAGAAGTAAATAGTATTTATTGTATTATTGGTAATTATATTTTAAAAAAAAAGCTATTTTAATGTAATATAAGTACTTAAAAGGTAATGAGTAATAAAATAATTATATGAAGAAGATCTATTATATATCGAAAAGGTAAATAAAATATTATTGAGAAATAAAAGCAGTACATATATTAAATCAATCAGTATTGCATTATTATACTAGTAATATTAAACTTGAATATGTTAATTTCAGAGATCACGTATTGAATCTATCTAATTAAGTGTGTCATATTAATTAACTGATTACGACCAGCAAAGGTTCATATAAAGTTTGTATCTTTAAGAGTTACTGATAGTGAAAGAGTTTATGAATAGTTATTAAGCAGGAAATTGGAATTGAGATTCTCACTAATGTTAGCTATTATATAAGTTAAGTTTATTAATTCACAAATATTATCGTGTTTTTTTAGGTATGAATCAAAATCAAGATTTATCATGTCAAACATGTTAGTACCTTCACAATTTTCTTTTCTTCTATTAATGTAAGATTGTCTTACAAGTAGCTTAACAATAGGTATCAAATTGTTGTTATCTCAATTCTTGAAAGGTTTTTTTAATAGATGTCTTACTGGTTCTAAAAGAAGTTTTCTTGAAAATATAGAGTAATAAGTTTAAAAATATATAGCACTTTTTTGTATAGAATATTTAGATAAAGAGTATACCTTTAAGAGATTCTTGCTTAGGTATTATAGTACAAAAAATATTTATTTTGTCATTAGGTTCTTCAATTTCTAAATTCTTGTCTTTAACAGTTTTCGTCCTCTTTATTTGAGCAATATTTTTCTTATTTTCTTTTTGTATATTTTTTATTCTCTTTTTACCAAGAATCATTCTAAATAAAAAAGTATATTAGAATATAAAATGAGAAGTAGTATTATATTAATAACCAGCTTATTTTATACCAGAAAACATTTTGTTTTTGTTTATGAATCCTCAAGTTGTGACTCAAGGGAGAGGTTGATTAGATATTTTGATATAAGCTTTTATCAATTACTGATGGAATTATATCACTCATGATGAATTACTTGTTTACATAATTTTGGTTAAAAATCACATGTCAATAATTTGTTTATGATAGCTTTAGTTCTATGAAAAAAGATAAGTTATATGATTGAATATTTCAGTGCTTGAAAACACTTGAAGTAAATTTTTTTACTTTAATAATCTAGTCATAAGAATAATTACCTAACTATTATCACAATTTAAAATGAAATTAAAAGACTTCGGATAAGATATTATTTAATAGGTATAGAATGTAATTGAACCATTTGTTTAATATATAGTTCTCTATAATGAATTTCTGTATTACAAATTTCTCATTGCGAATTACATGAATGATCCCAAAATTTTATTAACCAAAATAGTTAAATATAAAGAATTTTATAATAAATTTTACTATTACGTATAATGAAATGAAAGATCTTATATACATATAATAAAATAAGGTTTTTATTAACGAAATTTTTTTTTATACTGAATTTTTATCTACTTTAAAGTTGTAAGTGAAACCAAAATCTTAAGGTCAAAATATTTCAGCTTTTAAGAACTAAAATTTAACTGAAATTTTTTGATAATCTGAAACTAAAACAATATCTGCTAAAAATTTTGTTGCTAATATAAATTTCAACTTAAAAGATAATTTGATGTAAATTTGAAATAACATTAATAAGTGAAAGCTATCAGGTATTAATTACACATAAAACTGATAATTATGAATCATCATCTAAAATTTGAAATATTATCACTGTTGATATAATAAGTCAAAATAAGCATATATTTCTTTTAAAATCTTTAAAACATGAAATATCTTTAGCTAAATCCTTTTCAACTAAATTTAACTTGTTTTTTTATTTAAGTTTTACATAAAAAATAAATTAGCATTAGTTATATTAATAATTGAAATTATAAATATTTTATTATATATCTAGCATTACACCGGCTTCATCACTGCCAAAATGCATTAAATTATTGCTATTTAGTACTTTTATAACAAAAAAATTTTTTCAAATTTTTATAATGGAATTAGCATTTATTTTAACTAACTCAATTAGTCTTAAATAATGCCATAGAAACATTTTTTACCACATATTTACTATAATCTGTTCACTATTTCTGGCTTATTATTTAAAATCAATACGTTGAGCAACTTGTGGATTCCTGTGGCCACTTTGGGTTCCAGTCTAGTCATGTATATTGTTTGTTTTATTCAACTGTTTTTCCTTTACATCTTTTTAACAGAACTATTCTTATTTTGTAGGCTTTCTTTCTGCTTCTGTGTAAAAGGTGGTACTGAAGATGAATTGCTTACAGAAGTTAGATATTTGTCTATTAAGAGCTAAAACAAAGAAAGAAAATTAACAAAGAAAAAAAAAATTAATAATAAACCATGATAAAAACTAAATAAATATACAGATAAATCCGCATGTATATTTGATAATCTAACTTTGCAGAATCCGCATGTACATATTTAATTTACTAGCAGAAAAAAATCATATGCGTTCCGCAGTCAATTTTAGACTGGCTATAGTTAACTATTTACTGCGCTATAAAACTAGAAAATATATTTAACTAGGCAATGGGAACTGTTGAAGCTTCCAAAGCGTTAAGATTATTGTAACACAATACTTAAAATACAGTATCTACCTTTATTTAACTATAATACAAAAATTAAAAACTGATCCATTAAAAAAAATTTTCTTTTTGCTAATCAAAAATTATATTTTATTTCATGTATTTTATTTGTTATATGTTTGATTTTACAATTGACTTTATTTAACGATTAATATCCGTGATTTGTAATGATTGATCATACATTACATAAAAATTCATTAATTTTTTAAAAAAATTATAAAATAATTGCTATATCACAGACCAAGAAGTAACAGTCCTACCGGACTAATAAAGATAATAAAAGTATAAAAATAATAATAAGATAAATTTAAAAGAATTAAATAAACTAAAGAAATTTAGACCAGCAAAAGAAACAGGATTTACAAAATAAACAGACGAAACGTTGATCGTCATTATTGGTAAATCTCACGTGATATTGTATTATGTGTTAATTTCCTCCGTTGAAATATATTTTTTTATGTAACCATACCTTTACCAGCCTTTAAAATATGATTTAAAAATTACATCATATTCATTTTCCACTTCTATATCATTAATAGAAATTTCCAAAATTAATAATGATAAATTTAATAAATTTAATTAAAAAAAAGTGAATAAAAACGCAAATAATTTCTATCCGGTCAAATATCCGGTTTGAATGCGGCGGCCCGCAAATGTATAAATATCGCGTGGAAAATGAATATTTTAAATAGGTTCAAGTTTCAAACTAGTTTTTTTACACAGTATAAAATTACTTGTTATAATCAAGACTGTTTCAGGAGTGCATAATGAAAAAAAAAAACTGGTTTTTTTAGAAAGTCTATCAACTTCTAAATAAACATTTAAGGATGATCCAATCATATTTCATTTTGTATTCCTTTTCCATGTCTCGCCATTTTTCGAATTCCCCCAAAATTTTTCAAATTCCCTTTTGATCCCCCGATAATTCAAGAAATAAAAAAATTTTTTTTTTTTTTTCCCCAAATACTCTGTTAACACAAAATGTCACCAATAACGCGTAGCAAGACAAGTCCAGTTCGGTTTCTCTTTTCCGAGTTTCCTACATTCCTTGACCTTGAATTAGCTTATTGTAAAGCACTTCCTCGACTTCAACAAGATGCAGAGCAAATTCTAGAAAAAAGGTTGGAAGAAAATGAAGTCAAAGTTCATTTTTATAATCCTAGCGCGTCGCCAGAATATTGGTTTGTTAATAATAGAGAAGCATTGGAAGAAGTTGTTTATTATAAAATGAAATTTAGGTTGTTTCTGAGATATAAAAAGCAATTTATGGATAAAGGAATTGATGTTTCAGAATGCGTAGAATTAAAATTACCACAAAAGAGAGTACTTCCTCATAAGGAATTATTTTCCTGCGGTACTCTTCCAGTAATGAATATTTATAATTTTGGTCGACATTCAACAAAAGAAGGGTATGAAAAGGAATACAGTTTCTTTCATGAAGAAGAAGCAGCATCATCTTCAACCGTCTTTTATCAATCACCACCAACACCACGTAATTTTAGTTTTCTCTCTCACTCGTTCAAATTCGAATCCAGTCAAACACTTCTTGGAGACTACACTGATACCGAAATTGATGATACAGCACCACCTAATTTAGATCATCATCATAATGGACGTGCGCAATTTTTTAGCAACATTTTACATGTAATTAATTGTCATCAATTTTCTATCAATTGGCTGTTTAACGATAAAATTTATTTTGTATTGATGGTCTTAATTTCATTTTCGGTATATGGGTATATGTTACAAGTACAACAACAAAAAATTTTGATAAAAGGAAGGTTAGATGGCACGGTTAGGGTACAAGTGCAAGAATTCATTGAACAAGAGATGTTAAGAGTTTCTTCAACATCACCAGCTAAAGTTCGAAAAGGATTAAGTAATGATGAGCATGTAGAGAAAGAGAATGATGTAGGACTACTTGGATATGTTAGAACGCAATTACATGAAGTCCTCCAAGAACAATTAGAGAAAATGATGGAAGGTACAAGCGCGGATTATGCTTTGTATACAGGTGGAGCAAGAATTTTACCTCAATTAACATCACGAACTTATGAGATATGGCCAAGTAAATCTTATCAACGCGTTTGGGGTAGATTAACACATCGGAACGTTATTACCAGCAAAAAACCAGAAATCGTATTATCACCCAATGTGAACGTTGGAGAATGTTGGTGTTTTAATGGTACAAACGGACAAATTGGTATAAAATTGTCAAGAAGTATTGTGGTGACACATCTTACTTATAGTCATATTGGAAAAGAAGTATCAATTGACCCTATTTCATCAGCTCCTTATGAATTTGAATTGTGGGGTTTAAGTGAGAACAAAAGAGATTTTAAGGTGTTTTTGGGCAAGTATCAATATGATTTAGATGGTCGTCCCACACAAGCATTCAATGTACCTGATGAGATTGCGAAAAATAATAATAAGAGAGTGGATTCTGTTGTTATGAAAATTCTAAGTAATCACGAAAATTCTCAATTTACTTGTTTGTATCGGCTTCAAGTTCATGGTGTTATGCCTAAATGATAGTTTAATTATTTTATATGTAAAAAATATATATATATGTATGTTCGTTTTCATTTATATTTATTATTATTTTAAAATAAATAAAATCAAATCTCGCGTATGATCTCATCAATTTGATTAATGATAAAATGTATGCAGTGTTACAGCAATGGCATCAATTATCATGTGTTTATCGATCAACTAATGTAAAATTGTAATTGAAACATTTTCGTTTTAACACACTCACTCTTCTTATTTGAAACCATAAGACCATAAAGGGAAGTAAAAAAAAAAAATAAACCTACTTTATATTAAATATGGTAATTAAACAAGAAGTACTGGTATTTGGGGAAATTCGACATGCAAAAAGGTCTTTCGAAGAAATGAAAGAGAGATATGAATTCAAGGTAAGAGTTATTTTTTACAAAAACTTTTTTTTTTTTTTTTTTACTAAAAAAGAAAATATTTAATAGGAGTTTAATTCTACGAAAAATGATTTTTTGTTGGAAGCGACTACGAAATATGAAAACGTAGTTGCAATATTATTAGCCCATGGAGCTGATCAGGTGATTTTAAATTAATTTGCAATAACAATTTTTATTTTATTAACTTTTAACCTTTATAGATTATAGATAAATTTGATACTGAAGTGTTGGATACACTTTCACCAGACGTTAATGTGATATTGGTGATTGGAAAAGCATCAGAATTAGTTGATGTTAAAGCCGCTACAGAGAATGGAGTTTTTGTTGCCGATACAGTCTCCGAGTTACAATTAACCGAAGGTAAGAAACGATACAATAATTTTTTTTTTAAAAAAAAAAAAAAATTGGAATATAATAATTATTTAATCACTCTTGTAAATATATAAAAAAAAATATATATATATTAATATATATATATATATTTTAACATTGAATAGAGGAAATAGAACAAGCAGCACTTGATAATCTTGAATTCGCATTAATAACAGGAGTACCCAAAGATACTGTTAACGAGATTGAAGAAGTATCGGAAGCAGCAGCCGGTAAAGCTGCGGATTTGGTAGAAAAAAATGGTGAAATGAATGATTTAGATATTTCCGATATTCAAATAAACATTTAAAAAAAGGAATAAGGTTATCATGATGATTCAAAATGATTTTTTTATTCTATTTAATCTATAAAAAATTTTAAATAATTTATTATTATTATTATTATTTTATTAAACTAAGATCGCATTTTTATTCGAATACCATTCTTCACCATTTACGATAGAATCAGTAGTACCATCGCTAAGATTGGGAAATGGGGATGTAAACGTTCCTAACGCTTCGATAAGATTATCATTGCGTGACATTGAAGTTATTTGTAAATCCAAGTTCGAAATATCAGCATAATTGACATCACATATTTCAACATTATGATTATGATCATCATCGTTATTATTATTGTTCACTTGTCGAATACTAGTTTTTCTTAAACGAGTAACTCCTTGAACTACGTTAATTGCCTTCTTTAAAGTAGCCCTTGCAGAGAAATTTGTTCGTACATTATTTAACAAATCAATATTATCTGCCATATGAAACCATGGATGTCGTAACGCATCATGAACAGTTATTCTTTTATTCGCATCATATGTCATCAACTTATCAATCAAGTCTTTAGCATAATCACTAATCTCTGACCAATATTCTTCTTCAAAATAATAAACACCTGATAAGATGCTATCAAATAACGCTGCTTGATCTTCACCCCCGAATGGTGTATATCCACATAATAATGTATACATTATAACACCAACACTCCATATATCAACTGGTTTACCATGTCCAGTTTGTCTTAAAACTTCAGGGGCCACATATCCTGGAGTCCCGCATGCTGTCATTAAAATATCATTATGATGTTTTAATATTTTTGATAGTCCAAAATCCGTAATCATCAAATTTGGATGATCCGATTTATCACTAAACAATAAATTTTCTGGTTTTAAATCTCGATGAACGATCTCATGATCATGAAGATAAGCTACCCCTTCAAGTATTTGTTTTACTAAATTGGACGCATCTTTTTCCGTGTATGAACCTTTTTGAATAAGCTGATTAAATAATTCTCCTCCACTTGCTAAATCCGTAATGATGTAAACTGCATTCTTGGTTTCAAATAAATCGTGAAGTGTCACAATGTTTGGATGATTTACTTTTTTGAGAACATTCAACTCCGTGTTTAACATCTGCTCTTTTCCTTGATAATGAAAAACAAAAAAAAAAAAATCAAAAGGTTTTTAAATATTTTGAAACTCGGTAGAAAAAAAAAAATTGATGAAAAAAATTTACCTTGAATGGCTTTTTTGTTTATGATCTTTAAAGCATATTTAATTCCAGTACATTTATCTGTGCATTCTTTAACAACACCAAATGATCCTGTACCAAGAACATTTTTTGAAATTTTGTAACGTTTCTCTAATGACCATGGGTATAATGATGCCTTTTTAATTTTTGATTCTGCGTAAAAAATGTTTTTGATCTTGTGCATTGTGAATCTAAATTATATTAAAGTTTTAAAGTTTTAAAGTTTTATTTATTTTTTGTTTTTTTGAGGCTGAATTCTCATCCTTTTTATAATTTTTTTTTTTGTTATATCATGCTAACCTTGTTCGATTTTTGATGTATCTCGGAATATTTTTATAAGTGAAATATGGTGGTGCCGGATCGTCGTCATTACGATATGTCATACGATCATACATGATTTTAAAATAGAAAACTTGGTTTATATTGAATGAATGAATGAATGTATGAGAATTGTAAAAAAAAATTTTTTTTAGAGATATATAAGCAAATAAAAAAGATAATGTAAATAGGAATTTAAAAACCGATTAGAAAATTTTGATACAAAAATAAATCTTTTTATTGGCTCATTTATTACGAATATCGATCGATCATCACATTGCATAGATCACATTGCTTGTCACGGAATAACGAATCCGTTTGACGATTGAGGATTGAGGCTTGGCCGACAAAAATAGCGTTGTGTTTGTTTACTGCGCCACGTTACTGCTCATAATGATTTACACAGTACCTATGAAAAGTATTCCGCCATAACGCCAATGAAAAGACCTACAATGATATCATATCCTTACTCCTTAACAGAAATCTTTCACAAAACTTGTGCCCGTGCTAAGATTTCTAAGAAAAAAAAAAATGATCTTCCTAGCAATCAACCCATATGATACTATAAAGACGGAAAATCAGGTTCCGGGAATTTTTTAAACAAAATAAATTAACATGTCACGTGCGACAATCAAATTATTAAAAAGGGCATCCGCAACTCAGAGACCCGGAAAAATTCCATTTTTATAATAAATGAATAAATCGGAATTTTTGCTGTATAATGGAGTAAAATGGAA